TTCCTTGTTGACGAAGTTTTATGTCGGGGGCTCTAAAGTTGAGCAGTTTTAATTTAGACCATTAACTTATCAATAATGACATTTTAGCCCCCAAAACGGCAATACACAAACCAAACTCCACTCATGTCATGCTGTCTCCCATGACCAGGCACTCTTTTATATATATATTTGCACATCACCCCAACAATTTATAATCTATTATAAATAGTTTATTTGATTTGCGAATTGCAATTTTTACCCTTTGATCCTTTCACATTACAAATCTAGTGTTGGATATTAGAGACGTTCATTTCGTATATCAACAAGCAGTGCCGTCTCAAAACTTTTAAAGACTCCTGGCAAAAACAAAAAAATTTTGAACCCTTTTAATATAGATTTTTTTGTTGGATTCTTTTTTGTATATACCTAAAAAAAAATTGGACTCTTATTCTTTCAAAAAAATTGAAACATTTGGCGCGGACCTAGGATATAGGCTCCACTGGCCACCCCATAGAACCGGCACTGTCAACAAGTAAGATAGCTCAAAAAGATTAAAAAAACGAGTAATTTAGAAATTAATAAACATTATCTAATGCAATTTTTTTTTTAAAAAAGGAGATAATGAGACGAGTTCGAAAAACTTAGATAGATAAAAAAAAATTTCTCAAACTTTTTCTAATTTTTTTCTTAATTTATGTAAAAATTATTTTGCTTCAAATGTTTGAAAAAAAAATACAGTTTCATAATTATTCGGGAAAAAAATGAAAAATGAATCATGAAAATTGTGATAAGCCCCTAGATAGACAGACTGACAGACCTATCAGAAATCTGTAAAGTCCCATATTACAATAAATGGAAAATCAAGGGGTTCGTGAGAAATAAATTAAAAAATATTGTTGGAACTCATATTTGCAAATAACCCCCCCCCCCCCCCCAATGCGAGACTGTCACGTGTGGTAACACGTGGTGCTGTCAGATATGTGAAGATGACAGACAGTCACTCTAGGTAACGTCGGCTGGAATAACTGGGTCCCACAATTTTGTTTTCATTGGCTCGACATTTGGGCCACGTGGATGATAACGGCGTTTCATTAAAACTCCGTTTTGGAACTCTGTCAGTCTCTCTGAGACTGTGACTAAAATGGATTTTATAAAAAAAATTAAAAATAAAATCTGTGACTTATTTATACTTTCGTTCTTTGACCATTTCTCCGACCAAAAAGGGACCACTCACTCCATCTACGTATATTTTTTATAATACAATTGCATATGTATCAATCACATAATGTATACGTGTCCTTTTTTAAAGCTTTTAGACATAGAGACAAAAAGGAAAAAAAAAGCTAAATAATTTTAGGCAATTTTAATAGTTTTTGAATGAAATGGTAACAGTGATTACATATTGTCACAAGATAAATGCAATCTCTTAATTATACAAACTAAGAATATGATTCCTCTC